ATGAATTTGGAAATCCCCTTTCGGCTTTCATCTAGCCCTGCAGTTTACCACCACAGTACAATGCAATTTTTCTATTGCACCGACTGCTGAAGCTCAGGGTTAGGTGAGCGGGAAGCTATGCTGCATGGCAAATACATGCCATGAGGCACATGTTCCCTGTCTCCAACTGCCTCCTCCAGTTAAGTTTTTTTTTAATGTTTGATGTCTTACTGTGTTTTAATTTGTTGAAAGCTTCCAAGAGTGGCTTGGGTAACCCAGTCAGATGCACAGCCTATACATGTATTATTATTTATTTGTTCTAGATTCAGGTAGGCAGCCTGTTGGTCTGATGCAGTCGAAATATATTTTTTTAAAAATTAAAAAAAATTTAAATTAAAAAATTAAAAACTTGTCCAATAGCACCTTAGAGACCAAATAAGTTTGTTCTCGGTATAAGCTTTTGTGTGCATGCACTATTCTTCAGATACCGAGAACAAACTTAGTTGGTCTCTAAGGTGCTACTGGACAATTATATATATATATAATATATATTATATTTTTTTTAATATATATATATGTTGTTACACTATTATATGTTAGTGGCTCAAACAGGCCAGTTCTGTCCCCTCCTTCCTATCACCCCACCCCAATTCAGTTGACACCCACAGCACAATTTTAGCCCTGGTTATCTGGCTGTTTTGTTTCCATCCCTCCTTTAAATGTACAAAATCATTTGGTTCAGCACATCTGGAAAGTCCTGCAAATATGCACAAGCCAGAACACTGTTTGTGGATGTTGCCATTTCACTGCCAATCTGATAGGAATGGGACCACTAAGTTCACCATTAAAAAAAAAAAAAAGTAGAACTACAGTCAGGAACACCTAAGAGTGCTGTTTGATGATCAGTTCTGTTATTTACACACCTTCTGAAAGCTCCTCTTCCTGTGTTATGTACTGCTCAGGAACAAGGATGGCTGTCAGCCCCAGCCTCTTAACACGGGAGGTGAGTTGGTTGCTGGAGAAAGACTCATTTCTTCCTTACTCCATGCTATGTCTCCATGTAGCACAGAAGGAACATTTACGACATAGGGCACATACTCCCCAGCCGTTATCCCTACCCACTTCTGAGATGCTATATGTTGTTCCAGACTCAGATAGCTTCTGTTCTCCCAGTTACCACCCTCAGCATGGCCAACCATGTTTTGGGGGGTTTATTTACAACCTTGTATTGTTGTGAATAGCCAAGGAAACCCCTAAGCATGCGGAAACCCCCACTATGCGTGTGAATTGCTGCCAAATATTTAGATGCAGGGCCACAAAGTTCAGTATTCGGAAGGATGGTAGTGATGCAATCCCAGGGGAATCAGTAGAGATCCTGGAGGTTCAAAAAGGTTGTACTCTTTTGCAGAACTGGCAGAGAGACCTACGTGGAGATAATGTTTAGAATGGGGCGATAATTTGGGCTTGCTATATTCAGCACAAACTACCAATTTGCTATTGTTTGACCAATTCAGATACAGAAACTGGCCTTGTTCGCATGCCACATTAAACCACCGCTTAAAACAAAGTGCAGTTAATAGCAATACTCTCTCATTCCTGATGCCATGCCAGAGATAAGCCAGTCTCAGGCTGACATGTCATCTAAACCACTAGAAACAAACAAGGTTTGTCCTTGGTTCTGGGAAAACAAACCATAAAAGCAATTTCAGATGATGCAACGAATCAGACTTGGCTTGTTTTGTCTGTGGTGCATATTCAGCACCGGGAGAGAAATACCACGGGAACTTTTGAGTAGCAGGCACCAACACATTTCCTTTTCACATTAAATCATAACTCGTTTTCAACTATTGTGATGTGTTAACTAGGAATCAGAAGTGATCACAAATTCTGTTCACAATGGCCGAACTGCTGCGATACCTGAACTAGACTTTAGTGTAAAGCACACTCTACAAAATTAGTCCTAATTCAATGGTCCAGTAAGTCAGGGAAGGAAATATTAGCATTATATCTGTGGCAAAATTCTAAATTCCAGAAGACAATTCTCATAATTTAACTTCCTGTTAAATATCTGAAGTACGGCTAGACTATAGTAGTCTAATCCAGAAATCAACTTTGCAAGTTACTAGGGTGAGGTCTAAAGTAAACTGAATTTGGGAATGCAAATATTGTGACTTGATCCTCGCTGCATTGGAAGGTTTGATAAGAAGTTGGACATAATTTAAATCTTAATCTTAAAAGGCTTGGGGGGAACCCAGTTCCTTTTTCCAATTATTATAAATGCTGACAATTACTTTTAGCAACATCTCATTGTGGATGAGAGATTTGTGGTAGGTGGCTTGCTTTCTTATCTGAGTGTGTAAGAATGTGTTTGCAATTTCCCTTCCCATTCACAGGAGAATTCATTGATACCAGAGATGAGACACAAAGATGAGATCGTTTTGTTGCTATTTAGTTAGCACTTTTACTTGCAATGATTCATTTCGTTAAGGAACATTCCATTAAATGCCATTAAGGAAGTATCTACTCTAGAAGATTCCTTTCAGGAAAATTCATGCCAATGCTTCTCTTCTCCAACTATTTTCATCTACTGCCATTATTTATATATTTGATATGTAGAAATACCATCAGAGGTCTCAGAATTACTAGTATTATGAAAAGCACAAGAGAATGCCATGTGTGATCAGCTACATCCTGGATTAGCTATAGTTGGACAATGGCACACTGAGGGAAATGGTCAGAAAAAGGGGTGGGAACCATCATTCTAGTCTGGATCTGAGGCCTCTCCTCTTTGGCCCTGCCTACTCCCAGATGGAAATTAGGCTAAGAAAAAAGCTCCTGTTGGTGCCAAACTACCATTCAGAGAGGAGCTATTGAGTAAAAAGAGGTATTCCTTACCCATTTTTGGCTTTGGCTACGACATACAGTCAATAAAAGGTACCAAACCAATTACCACCAAGAGAATGTGGCCCTCAACATAAAAAGGACGCCCACCACTGATTTAAACCATTTATCCAAACATATAAATATTTGCAGGGAACCATAACATTTTGTGGAAAGGTCTTTTTCATTTGTGCTCTTTTCCACTCTCCTTTTTTTCTGTCTCCGTCTCACATGCCTGCTTCTTGCCTGCCCACATTTCCTGTAGCCAATTCCCAATTACCTTTTAAAAGCTCATCCCATTTATAAGGCTAAACCATTATCAAAATAAGTGTTTTAACGTTACCTGAGTGCCATTTTAGATCCTGTTTTAATAAATTTATTGCAGGATGGAGAATCTCAACAATGTGAAAACCTTGCTTCAGGCTCTCTGAGAACCAGAGACTACACTGCTGCATTATTTTTCCTTTGCGTCACACATTTGGAAGGACACAGATGAGCAAGTTAAAATTTGGCTCTATTCCAGGCTCTGACACTAACTCACTGAGGCTGTGGACAAGTGATTAGCTTCAACTACATCTTAGTTTCCTGGTGTGCAATGAAGATAATAAATACTTTTCATTCTGCTGTGTGAGGCTACATTCCTTAATCCACTCACATGGCTTTTAAATGCCACTGAAATTGACAGGGCTCATAAGCACTCAAAGGGGCCACAGAAGTATACATTAAAATTAAGAAGGGACCATCAAATGCCAAATAACCTGGTTCAAGTTATCTAAGATGACACTGGAACAGTGTATGACTGCGAGTGTTTACTCAATAGTCCCACCGAATTCAAAGGGGCTTATGCACATGTATGCAAAGGACTGAATTCAAACAGTCACTGAATCTAATGAAGCTTCTCTCATGCTATCCACATACAGCTACCTAATCCCTCCATTCCTCTCCACCGCAATACTCATCTCCTATTCACACCATAAACACTATCTAGAGAACAACCAGGAAGCCACAGAAAAGGTGAAGATTTTCATTCGGCATCGAACATACAGTTCCCTATATCACCCACGTACAGACAGGTTCGAAAATTAAAGAGAGCACCCATTTCTGGCAAACCCATGGAATCAAATCTGAATGGTTAACATAAAATGCCAAATCATCCCACCGCTTAAAACTTGCATTTCAATTAACCCCCCCACACACACACACTTCAAACCTGCTCCTTTTTAACAGCAAAGCACTGACATGTTGTTTTCCGTCACATCCTATTCCTAGCAGGCACCTCTAAAAACTAGTCAGGGTATTTACCGGGCAGATAACACACAAGGAAAGAAAGCAGAGTGGTGCTGGTTTGAGTGTCAAAACTTCCCTTTTTCACACACACACACACACACACAAACTGATCTGCAGTGCACTGTTAACTGCGCCCAGAAACAGCGTTCAAAATAGCTCGCTTCCGCTAGGGAGTACAGACTGCCTTTTCTTTTCTCCTTTCCCCCCCTTCCCTCCAACCAGCCATTTTGCCCTTAAAGTGTCTTCTCGCTTCCTCCTCTCCTTCAACCCAGCCTACATTTTGTGCTGCTGCGGGGTTCCGGGGTGACAGCTGACATTCAGGAGCAGGAAGGGGGGTGGGGTGGATGATGGCTTCACTTTTTTGAAAGGTGGGGTGGGGAGGTGGAAAGCCCAGATAGACCTCCCTTTGCCTTGGGGTGGGGAGGAGGAGGAGGGGTGAGCGGGAGAAACCAAAGCTTCCCGCCTCTCTGCCTGCCTTCCCCCCCCCACCTCCCCAAACCTGCACCGCCGCCCCGTCAAGCCCCGTTTGAAGATGCAACGAGAGGCGCTGCGGCATTCAGAGGCTCGAGGGGATGTCCCGGTGCCGCCTCCTCCTCCTCTCTCCCCCACCCACCCCAGGGAGCCCGCCCGCCCGCCCGGCTCCTCCCGGAGAGGCAGGGGAGCTCGGGGACCCCCTCTCCCCGGCAGGTCGGCCTTGCGATCGTCCCTCCCCCGGGCGGGCGGGCAGTGCTCTGCGGTGTCTCTCCGCGTCCCTCCCCCCGGGCGGGCGGGCGGTCTGCGGCGTCTCTGCCTCTCTCTCTCTCCCCCCCCCCTTCTCCGGCAGGCCGTGCGAGCGCGGCGGGGCGGGCACTTACCGCTCCGGCAGGCGGAGAAGCGTCGTCGTCGTCGTCCTCCGGCGACGGCGGCCCGATCTTGCTGCAGGTAGCCGCCAAGAGCGCCAGCGGCGACGGCTGGGTGTCCTGGGGGGGGGTATGGGGGGGGAGCGGGAGACAGGCGGCGGGAGAGGTGGGTTAGCGCGGGGCGCGTCTCCGTCGGTCCCCTTCCCTCCGCCCGCGCAGCAGCGCCGCCGCAGCCACCGAAACCCCGCGCTCGCGACGTGTCACCGCCGGGGGGTGGGGAGGAGGGGGAAAGAAGGGCTCCGGGCCCGAAGCCTGCTGCTTCACCCGCCCTCCCGCCTCTCACCTGCGGGGTGCCCGACTCGTCCGAGGCGTCGGCCGAAGCCGCTGCAGAGCCGCCGTTCCCGTGCTGCAGATATTCGCCGTGGGGGCCGCCGCCGCCGCTGCTGTCCACGTCCAAGGCAGCCATTTCCTCTTGTTTCACGGGCTTCTCCGGAGCTGCGCGCATAACGGGGGGGGGGAGTAGTTGGAGAAGGGGGGGGTTAGGGAAAAAAAAGATAGGCCGGGTTGTTTGGTGGTGCGGGGGGGTTGGAAGGAGAAGTTGGGCGGTGGGGGGGGGAGGCGGAGAGAATCGGTCGGAGGGGGGAGGGGAGGAGAGTCACTGTCGGGCGCGCTCGCCCCCTCCCTTCCCCATCACCCCGGCGCTTGCTCGCTCGCTGGCTCGCTCCCTCCCGCGCAAGGCGAGCCCGCCCTGCTTTCCCTCCGCTCCCCTCCCTCTGTTCCCTCCTCCTCCTCCTCCCTCCCTCCCTCCGCGCCGCTGCCGCCGTCCCTGCTGCCCCTGCCCCTCTTTTCTCCCTCCTCCCCCTGGCTCTGCTCCTCCTGCTCAGCCAGTGCCGCTCCAGCCACACTCGCAGGCAGACACGCGCGGCGGCGGCGGCGGCGGCGGACGAGCAGCAACCGAGGCGGCGGCGGCTCCCCAACAACAAGGCCCCGTACGTACCGGTCATGGCGGGAGGACGAGCGAGCGACTTGGCAGGCGAGGAGGGAAGGGAGGAAGGAAGGAAAAGCGCTGGCTTGAACCCCGCTGGTCTCTGGCGCGCAGGCCCCGCTGGCGGCCGCTGCCGCTGCTAAGGCTAGGCAGCCGCCGCCGCTGCTGCTGCTGCTGTCGCCACCGCCGGGGACATGCTTATTGTGCGCGCGGGGTTGAAGCGGCGGCGGCGGCGGAGGTGGTTCTGCTGGTGGTGGTGGTGGAGGAGGAGGAGGCGGCGGCCTGGCTCCCACTCCGGGGTCCCCCCCCCCACTTGTTTTGATTGACGGTGCGAGGAAGCCGAAAGGTGGAGCTTGGAGCAAAAGGGAAGAGGGGGCCCGGCCGACACCGCCAGCACCACCACTACTACCGCCGCCTTGCGCGCGCGCGCCCGCCCGCCCGCCCGCCCTGAGAGCTGGCCCGGAACTCCCGCCTCCCCCCCTCCACTTTGCTCTTGCGGCGTTCCAGGCAGCTCATTGGCTGCGGCGCCGCGCGGCCCGCGCTCTCACTGGCCCTCGCCTCCTGTCGCTCAGCCCGCTTGCGGGAGCGGCCCCCGCTCCCCTCCTCCCCCCTCCCTTGCCGAGGTGGCTTCCTGTTTGCCAGGGTTTGTGTGAGAGACAATGAGCGAGGCCTTGCTCGGGTGGGCTCGGGCTGAGGTGGGGGGGGGGAGAGCAAGGCCGCGGCGGCCGCCTAAACCGGCGGTTGGAAGGGAGGCCCTGAGGCAGCCGCGTCAGGGCTGTTGGCCTTTTCCCTCATGACAGAGCTTCGCTTTGTAAAGCGCTTGAGGCCTGCTCCCCTCAGAGCGGCTCTCTCCTCGGGCCCTGCTCGATTTCCGTGGGAGATTCGGCGGGGTTTGAATTCTCCCTCGTTCCGGCTGCCACTCAGCGTTTTGTGACAGCGGCTCTAGGGAGGAGGAGGGAAAGTTGGAGGCTGCGCTTATGGACCGAAAACAAAACCATCCCCTCCCCCCCAAAAAATAAAAAAAATTCTCCAGTTAAAATGTCGGCGCGCTGCGGGCCAATCAGGCCTCGCTTGCGAATGTTTTGAAGGCCTTGAAGTGCCAGACCCGGGCCTTGTGCCTACGTGTTAATTTCATCTGTTAACTTTTTTCCAGAAGCTGGTTTCTTTTTTTAAAATATTTCAGGCCTTAGTTCCCACGAGCTAAAAGGACATTGATTTCCAGTATTTAGTCTCTGGTTAAGAGAGTTTTGAATATGAACGGGGCTTCGTCTTGGCGAATGATGAGCTTAGTAAAACACTTGAGTTTTAAAATTATAAACAGTTGAGCATCTCTATTCTCTCTGTGCTTTTAAATAATCAGCTTTTACATTGCTTACATTCAAAGAGCAACATTAAAAAAAAACTGCTTAAAGCACAAAAGCAGTAATCCACATTTCTCAGTGGCAAAACTGCCGTGATTATAGTGAAATTCCTTCCAGTAACACCTTAGAGACCAACTAAGTTTGTTATTGGTATGAGCTTTTGTGTGCATGCACACCTTTGTTTTTATTTTGTTTTGACTAAGGCAGACCAACACAGCACAGCTACCTACCTGCAACTGTGATTATAATGGTTCTGAATTGTTCCCGAAGAAAGCAATTCCATCTCCCACTGAGATCAATGGAGAAATATCCGTTGATTTAATTCTAATGGATCAGGCACTAATCCTCAAGCATTTCTTGAATTAGGATCTGTATAAATTTGTCAAAATTGCATGGATGGTTTTTTTAGATGTGTATTGGATTTTTGTTATTGATATGTGTCACACCAAAATGCACTTCAACTATAAATAGCATAGGGATTGTTTTATATATTTTTGCGTAGATCCCTTATTGAGTTTGAGGTTGGCTTGAAGGCAGTGTTTAACTCTTGAAGACATGCGTTCTGATACTGTCCATGTTTGCTAAGAATTAACTGATACTGTTAAGTGGTGCTTACTTTCTAGTAAGCGTACTCAAAAGATTCCAGCAGCTATTTTACTTTGGGGTGGGGGACTTCAGCATACAATCTGTGGTTAGTTCAGGACTTTTTGACATCTTAGTGAAAAGCATTTAGTGAGCATAATAACTGACACAGCACATGATGGGAATAAGTTGGATGCTATATGTTATGAAATACAGTCTGTTCATCAGGCGTTGAAATTGCCAGGATTTGGTCATTATGTTCTAAGTGCAGGTACAATAGACCAATATACATGAGACTTCCTCCTTTTCTATGTCTATTTGTGGCTGGCCAAGAATGGATGGTGTTCATGTTATCAGATGGTGTGCAGTTATAAAACTGATCAAAGCAGAATCATTTTTCTGTTTCAGTTTTGGATTACTTTCAGTTAAGGCAAGGGAATAGTCATGAATTCATCCATATTTAAAATATTGCATATTTTCATTTTAAAGCACAAGCGAGTTTCCCCCTTATTTTGGTTGTGGGCGCAAGAAAGCTGAAAGGAGACTTGCAAGCAGAAGAGGGAGATCTGGCTTGACAGCACCATCACCACAACTACCTCCACCTTGCCTATCAGCTCAGACTCCCCCCCCCCCTTAGTGCTCCTAGCGACTCATTGGCTGCAGTGCTATGTGGCCTAGACACTTTCTGCCTCAAGCCAACAGGAAACCATGTAAATGAATAATGTGAGGTTTTTTGTACCCCTGAACATATTACATTAACCCATGATCCTGACTTAATAATAATGTAAACATGAAAATTAATACTGATTTATGAGACATTTTGGGCAGCTAATGTGAAAGTAGCTGTTGGGCACTGTTCACTGAACCCCAGTTCATCAGTGAAAGGGAACCGTGGACACACACAGCTTCAGAGGTTAGATGTAGTAACTACTCTCAGCAGAAGGAATACAGAAATCAAAAGCTTGCAACCAATTCAAAACACTGAAAATCTTTCCTAAAAAGGGTTGTCTTGGTAATATGGCGAACTGCCATTAGGGAAGAAGCAAGGCCGGCCTTGGGAGGGATCAGTTCAGGCCGCAGTAGCGAGAAAGGCCTTTTCTCTTATCCCAACCAGATGTATTTTCAGGAGACTGAAGAGGGCTTCCATTGATAGTTCTTAATATGTGGGAAAGGTTGTGTGGGAGAAGATGGTCCTTCAGATAGCATGTTCACAAACAGTAACGGTTAATGGATGTTTTTACAATCTTTGAAACTGCCAAGAAAAATATTGTCCCTGGAATATATAAATAACTGTAAGCAAACAGTGTCATGTTTGCCCCAGTTTGTTCTTTTAGATAGAACTTCTTCAAGTTTGATAAAAGGTCATGGATTCAGTTTTAATGAAGAGTGAGAGTACATTTGAATGTGTCTCTTTGTATTATGTTTTCTAGGGGACACTATATATATATATATATATATATATATATATACACACACACACACACACACACACACACACACACAGTGGACCCTCTGGATACGAATTAAATTTGTTCCGGGGGTCCGTACTTAACCTGAAAAGTCTGTAACTGGAGGCACCGCTTCTGCGCACACACGTGGCATGATAGAACGCTTCTGCGCATGCGCGCGCGGTGAAACCCAGAAGTATACACTTCCGGGTTTGCCACGTTCACAACCCGAAAGTTACATATCCAGAGCAGTATGTAACTCGGGGGTCCACTCTCTGTGTGTGTGTGGTGGTGTTGTTGTTGTTTAGTTGTTTAGTCATGTCCAACTTCATGACCCCATGGACCAGAGCATGCCAGGCACTCCTGTCTTCCACTGCCTTCCACAGTTTGGTCAAACTCATGTTAGTAGCTTCGAGAACACTGTCCAACCATCTCGTCCCCTTCTTGTGCCCTCAATCTTTTGCAACATCAGGGTCTTTTCCAGGAAGTCTTCTCATGAGGTGGCCAAAATATTGGAACCTCAGCTTCAGGATCTGTCTTTCCAGTGAGCACTCAGGGCTGATTTCCTTAAGAAATATTATATATATTATTATTTTATATATTATTATATTATGTGTCCCCCAGAAAACATAATACGTAGAAAGAGACATATTCAAATATATACACACACTCAAAATATCTGATTAAATGAAAAATGGCTTTAATTTTTTTTTAGTTGCCTTTGATCTATCCTGTTAAAGTTTTTAGTATAGTGCCTGTCTGACTGCAAATCTGTCTACGCTACTGTGCAATGGTATTGTGTTACACACCACATAGATGAAGCTGTCAAACTTGTGTTTTGAATACATTTTCAGGATTTGATGAGTAGGGCTTTTCAAATGGGGTTGAGACTCTGCATGTCTGGTGCATGCATACTCTTTCAACACAGGAGCAACAGTTTTCAAAGGTTGCTTATAGTGATAAACACTCTATACATGTATAATGTTGAGAACCACAGTCATTTGCAGATATCAAACAAACACCAAAGAACAAATTAAACTCCAGATCAGAGAAAAGGTCCAACAATGACATGAAAGCGGGGTTCAATTTTTATTTAACCAACTGAACCCTAGGCCTAGCCTGTGCTGTGGTATAGAATAATATGGAGCCATTAAAACACTTGAGCTTTGAGAGCAGCTTTCAGTACAGTGATAGATGTCACTGGCAATTCATGTTATCTGTTTCATATGTATTTTTACAGCCATCCCAATAGTAAAGTTTCGTTGTGGTTTACATGAAAAGAGCCTGCTACATCAGGCCCGTGGCTCACTTAGTCCAGCATCCTGTTTTCACAGTGGCAAACCAGATGCATGTGGAAAGCATGCAAGCAGGACGTGAACACAGCAGCACTCTGCCCACTTAGGACTAAAGGCAATGAGTATTTAGAAGTGGAACACAGCTATTGTGACTACTAGCCAATGATGAGCTTTATCCTCCATGAATTTGTCTAATCTTTTAAAGCCATCCAAGTTGGTGGCTCCCCATTTATAGAATGTTCTCCCCAGGGAAATTCTGCTAGTTCCTTTATTATACACCTTTAGGTGCCAGGCTAAAACATTCCTCTTCAACCTGGCTGATTAGTACCCAATGCCCTTCGAAATGTGTTTGGGGAGGGGAGGGGCATTCATTGGTTTATGTTTTTAAGGTTCTTGTTTTTATTATGTATTTCGTATTTTTATGTTACGAACCGTCCTGAGATGAAGGCAGGTATACAGATTTAATAAATGAAATAAAAATAACTGCTTTGGTAGTATTTGTAAATCTATATAAAGATTGTATGTTTATGTCAATTGTGGCAGAATAAAAAAAAAGAATTTGATTTTTTTAAAATAGGAATGGCTTGGTAGTATGTTAGGTGATAATGAAAGCTGAATAGTAAAGCCATGCCACCAGTTAAATGGGACAAAGGTCTGAAACCTAGTCCTTAGAGTGGAAAATTCATCAGCCAGGCTGAAACGCCCTTCCCCCCCAAAAAAAAATAATAAGGAAAATTAGCTAGGTGGGAAATGTAAGATAGCAGACATTAGAAGAAGAAGAGAAGAAGAGTTTGGATTTGATATCCCGCCTTTCACTCCCTTTAAGGAGTCTCAAAGCGGCTAACATTCTCCTTTCCCTTCCTCCCCCACAACAAACACTCTGTGAGGTGAGTGGGGCTGAGTGACTTCAAAAAAGTATGACTGGCCCAAGGTCACCCAGCAGCTGCATGAGACGCAAACCCGGTTACCCAGATTACGTGACTACCGCTCTTAACCACTACACCACACTGGCTCTTTTTCCCTTATCAAAGGCCCAGTAAGGTGTTTTTGATACCTTAACTAGAAGTATTTGTGATAAAGGAACCCATATTGTTTGATATTAAACATAAGTTGGCACTGTTAGATCCCCCAACATATTTTTTTTTAAGCTTTTATGGGTTATTGTGAATATATTTTATTTGAAACGTTTGTAATTTTTTACTTTTTACTTTTTTTTTACAGTGGCATGTGTAATGTATGCAAATCCACAGCAGCCAAACAATGCCAACCCCTGTACTGAAAGTAGTTCCAGGGGCTCTGCCAGAAAGAGGAGACGGGAAGACTTGATGCATGGCCTGTGTATATTGGTGAAGAGTATAAGGATACCAGAAGTGCCTTTCACATAGACTTGTGGAATAAAATGAATGAAGAGTCAAGCACTGGAGCGCACTGTATAAATACGGAATTTGTATGAGAACGTGGATTGGGATAGTAGTCCGGAAGGTAATGTATTTTCACAAAATACGCAAGGCTGCCTTTGCATCTAGAAGGAAGCTGCGGCAAGCTGTACAAAACAGAAGACAAAATGGTAGTGACTTGTGCTGAGTGATGCAACAAAATTGTCGTAGTCCATCACCACTGACTCTGTACCAAGAACCAGATGTGATGCCCTTCATAATAAAAATGTATGTGTATTTAAGGCGCAAGGAACCCGAAGTCATGGCAGTATTGTCTATATATCACCAAGTGATTAACTCCAGATGACAGCAATTCCAGAGGTTCCGCAAATGTTTTTCAAGCATATTCATTATGGTGCATTTGGTTGAAAGACCCAATAAGGGCTTTCTAAAATACTCTCAGGTTTCTTACAGGCTTTATTCAGGGAACAAAATTAGCCACCATAAGGGAGGTGTTTCCAAACAAGCGACAAGTGGAAGTTTTCTTGAAATAGCCACTTCCTGAGGTGTCAGTGATAAACAGTTATTCAACAGGGTTGCCATGTGTTTGCATGCTATTCCATTTACTGAAGCTGGGTTGATGTGACAAAACACACGTTGAAGAACAAAATAATTCAAAAGAACCCAAGGGCCTATGCAAACATATAACATAGCTCAGAAATGCTGCTGTTAAAGGCTTTTGAAATGACTGATGATCCAAACAGATTATAACATGGACATCACTGGTGTTTTCCATCATTACTGGGAAGCAAATATCATTTCAGGCTCAAGTTTAAAACACTATTTTAGAGGTCTGGTAAGAATGTTGTTATCTTGACAGAAACGGATTAGTTGACTTGGATACCCCTATATTCAGAGATCAGAAACAGCAAAGGAAAACATATTTTTCACCTAGCAAAATTTTCCTCAAGTTTTGGGGTGAGTCATCTTGGCCCAATATACTCTCCACCCTTTTAAGGTATTAAAACCTCCTTATCCTTTTGCTCAAAACAAGTACAAGCTGGAAGCTATACTACTTTGTATTGATACTACTGCTTGATACATTCTACTCAATAAAATTATATTTTTATATTTACACATTGTTTTTGCTGTAATATGCTTACTTGTTTTCATTCCTAGTTCGTGCTCTAGATCAGTGTTTCCCAACCTTTTTCCAATTGTGGCCCCTTTCCAACCTTGTTTCCTTCCTGTGGTTTCCTCCCCCCCAAATAAGTAAAAATCAATACAAATCTGAGGTTCTGACTTAAATGTTTTGTTTGTAAATGGAACATGTTTTCTTTGTAATTTATACAAAATACAATTACATAAAATGATAGGAACATAATGAAACGTTGAAGCAGAAAACCATAGAATCATGGAAGGGACCCCACGGGTCATCTTTCCTAGTGCATGAGGGAGATCCATCTTCCATGTATTAAAAAAAGTAAACAACACTTGCTTGACCCCACTTATTTGACACACATGGGAAAACCTCCAGATACAGTCCAAAAGGTGCACAGGGAGTTCTGTATAGATGGGAGAATTTTAAAAAGCAAGTGGTCCTCACTGATCTACTGCAAAAATATCTTGTCATCCGGAGGAGCCCTGGCTGCCTAGATAAAACACTATAGTCCCACACACCCTTACCTGGGAGTAAGGCCCACTGAAAGTGGCTTCTGAGTAGACAGCTATTTACCAGATGCACGTCAACAGCACCAGACTTGGCTAGGCACTGGGGTGAATTTGCAGAGCCAGGCTGACGCTACTGATGGGCCCTTTGCCCCTCTGCAACATCCAAAAGCCATGAGGCCCTGATCCACTAAGCACAGGGGTGGATGGCGTCCTGCGCCTTGTAGTCGGGCCCGGCACTGGTGGCAGCAACAAGCAGCTCTGGCTTGCCCAGCCCTACCCATAGCCCAGCACCGAACTTACCTGACCTGGGTGCTCTGGATTGTGGGATGTACTGGTCATAACGGGAGCCTCAGTGATGGTCCTCTCCCACCGGAAACAAACCAGGACTGCTCCAAGAAAATGCACGTGGCAAAAAGGAGCACCAGACACTGGTGCCCCCCCTCCCTTACCCACTTATGATTGACCAAGCAGAGAGCCAGCCAATCAGGACTTTTTAAAAAAATCAATATTTTTTTTTTCTTTGTGACCCCTCTCCCATTTGCGTATTTTTCACCTGTGACCCTGACTTCCTCTCATAGAGGGAGGCAGGGCGGTTCCAAGATGGCGATGGCGTAGCAAGCAGGCTTCAGAGCTCCGCTGATAACAGGACTGTAATTAGTGCTGCAGTGGTGCCTCGCAAGACGAAAATAATCCGTTCCACGAGTCTCTTCGTCTAGCGGTTTTTTTGTCTTGCGAAGCAACCCGCTTAGCGGATTAGCACTATTAGCGGTTTAGCGGCTAAAAGGCTATTAGCGGCTTAGGAAAAGGGGGGGAAGCGAAAAAAATCGCAAGACTCGCAAGACGTTTCCATCTTGCGAAGCAAGCCCATAGGGAAAATCGTCTTGCGAAGTGCATCGAACACGGAAAACCCTTTTGTCTAGCGGGTTTTTCGTCTTGCGAGGCATTCGTCTTGCGGGGCACCACTGTATTTGCTACCCAGGGCGGTAATTTTTCCTGTTTTTTTACTTCTCTACTTTTAAACTTGCGGGACGCAGGTGGCGCTGTGGGTTAAACCACAGAGCCTAGGACTTGCTGATTAGAAGGTCGGCGGTTCGAATCCCCATGACGGGGTGAGCTCCCGTTGCTCGGTCCCTGCTCCTGCCAACCTAGCTGTTCGAAAGCATGTCAAAGTGCAAGTAGATAAATAGGTACCGCTCCTGCGGGAAGGTAAACGGTGTTTCCGTGAACTGCTCTGGTTCGCCAGAAGCGGCTTAGCCATTCTGACCACATGACCTGGAAGCTGTACACCGGCTCCCTCAGCCGATAAAGTGAGATGAGCGCCGCAACCCCAGAGTCAGTCACGACTGGACCTAATGATAAGGGATCCCTTTACCTTTACCTTTACTTACCAACCTACTGAGATTCTATCAGCACCTTCTTATCTATGCTATGAGAAACACCTTGGGCAAGTTCTGTGAAGCATCCTGGGCAGGCTGCCAGCTATTAACCACCAGCTCCCTTTTATACTTTGTTCCTGGAACTCCTGGCAGTCACCTGTGGCCCTCTTGTAATATCCTGGGGACCGCAAGGAGGCCACACGGCCTCCGGTTGGGAAACGAGTGCTCTAGATCCTTTGTCATGGAGTATTCCTTGGATGGCCATTTCGTCACTTGAAATAGCCTTCTGGCAAACCAAACTGCCACTCCCCTTCATCTGGAATGAGAAGGTGGGACGCAGCAATTAAGGAGAAATACGAGTGTTGCAGCCCAGTCTTCCTTCTGGCATGACTTCCCTGAAAGAAGGTGACAGGGAGAATAATTGGAGCGCACCAGTTAAAACGAGAAGTCCTCCTCTTGCTCACAGACTCAGATCTATGTCCTCCTCCTTTTGAGCTGTTTCACGGCTCAGATAGGAAGGAGAAAAGAGATAGGGGCTGGACAATGCTGCTTTGAAGACTGGATCCAATCTGAGGGCTACCAGTTGCCAATCTCTTCTTTACATTCATGTTTTTTCATCAGGGAGGGCGACGATATGCTATAGGAGACGAAAGGCAATGAAAAACCTAGAGTTGAAATAGGCGTCAACGTTGAGCTAAGAAGCTATAATTGGTGTAGGGTTTTAAGGGTGCCGCAATGGGCAAGGAGGAAATCGGTTATTTGAACTTCATTTCTTAGTTTCAAAAACAACCAACTTCAATTTTAAAAAAAGATCCCCTATAAGCTGAATAGGACTGTTGCTGTTTCCTCTGGCCTGACCAATTTAGAAATCGGGGCAAAACAAAGAGATGTCTTAATTTCCAATGAATGCAATGGACCGATTTCAAGTTTGGTTCTCATTATACCTTGGGAAAGAAATATAGAAAAAGAAATCTGTTTTTAAAATATCTCGTGTGCTTATCTTCTGCTTCAACAGCACCAAAAAACAAACAAAGCATGATATGGAGGGCGCCACATAAAACTTACGCCAAATTTACTGTCTTTAAAAAGAAAAAAAGTTTTGTTTTAATCTTTCACTGGTTGGATTATAATAATGATCAGCTCTGTAAGAGGAATCGCCAAATCTCACAGCAGTGAAATGAAACTGCAGCCTTCCCAAGCAGTTACATGTTGCAATTTTATGAGCAAATAAATACCCTCTTTCAGCACATTATGATTGTCATTCCTTGTTTGTATTTCCTTCTTTTTAAACTGAAATAAATCGGAAAAGTATATATTCTACTCCCCAATCCTATAGTTGCAGCTTCATCATCAGTGATTTAATTAAACAAGAACGTTTTTATCTTTTCCCCAGTTTAAAGGAGCAAGTACAGTAGCTTAAAGCCTTTAGAGGTGTAACACTGATAATTTTCTTTTTAAGAGAACAATGATATTTTAAAGTAAAAAAAAAAAAGTATTACTTTTCTGGGCATGTCTGCCCTGAATTATGTTGTTAAAACCACACCATAAAGTATCGATTTATAGGGCAATTAATCAATAAAGAACGTTCTATCCAGAAGGGAACACGTATTTTGCTAAGTACTGTACTTCAGCCTTGCAAATGGCTATGGGCAAATGTTATTTCTGTTTTAAGTACTTTATTTTAAGTTTTGAGTTAAAGTGTTTACTTTAATCATGATCAGGTAGCTTGGTGTTATGAATGGCCCACTACAGCAGCTTGTACAGGATCTAATATTTACACCCCACCCATGGCTGGGTTGTCCCAGCCACTCTGGGTGGCTTCCAGCAAATACAAATGCAGAATAAAACATACAGCATTTTTTAAAAATTCCCTATACAGGGCTGCCTTCAGACGTCTAAAAGTTGTATAGTCACCAAGTGCGTGCAACAGACTCGCTATATTTTTTTTGTGTATCTGCTCATATTGGTCCATGAAATAGGGAAACCTTTTGGCTCACTAAGAAAAAAAATGTATATTCTAAATAATGATGTAACAGCACTCTATGCAGTGTTCACTGGTTGCTGAAAAGAAGGTGTAAGGAAAGGAAGGCAAGGGATAACATACCCTCCAACATTTCTCTGATGAAGATTGGAGGAAGGCAGAGGGCCTTCTCGGTAGTGGCACCCGCCCTGTGGAACGCCCTCCCATCAGATGTCAAGGAAATAAACAACTATCTGACTATTAGAAGACATCTGAAGGCAGCCCTGTTTAGGGAAGTTTTTGATGTTTGATGTTTTGTCGCTTTTTAATTATTATTATTAATATTCTGTTGGGAGCCGCCCAGTGTGGCTGGTGAAACCAAGCCAGATGGGCGGGGTATAATTTGTTGTTGTTATGCGTCCTAAGAAAAAGCGGGGCATTTCAGGATCACATCAGAAACCTTCTGTAAATCTGGGACTCTCCTTGTAAAATAGGGGTACTTGGTGGTCCTGGGATAAGGTAGGGTAATTGTTTCTCAAGAGACTTTACTATTCACATTTAGTAGGCACAAGTTATCAGGCTTCTCAAGACTGCCCGGCAGTTTATCCTTTTGAGCCTTGCAGCTCTTGAAGTAACAATCAGGAATTTCAAGGTCCCCTTCACGGAATTTGTAACTCTTTCTTTCTGGGGTAGCGCTTTGCTCTCAAATCGCCTTCCTGCAGTTTCAATGCTAGCCGCCCATCTAAGTTCTTTCTCTCACCTTTTCCTTCCTTCTTCTTCAAGAGACAAAAGAGGGCATGTGGAAGGGTTTGCATTGTGCAGAATCTCAAGCAGTCCTCAAATTGATCCATCACAGCAAAAGGGCAGCACATCTCAGGGGCAGAACACAACTGTGTTTGTTAAGGTGTTTTGTAAGCCAGGGACATGCTGTTGGAAACATTTCCCTTGCACACTTGTGTGCGCACGCGCATACACACACACACACACACCAGACATATTCTTGACTCATAATTACTAAATATAGATTCGAACCGCCGACCTTCTGATCGGCAAGTCCTAGGCTCTGTGGTTTAACCCACAGTGCCACCCGCGTCCCTTAATATATCGCTTAACCCATGACAAATCATA